AACAACAGCAACAGCAGCACCAAGTTATTTCTTTAAAAGGGTCAATTAAAGCAGCCTACCGAGAGCGAGCGACAACTGTCCTATCACTTGGAGAATTTAAAGTATTCCTGGAGAAAACACTGTCAACTACATGGGAGAGAACATTCCTCTGCTGGCAGCCAGCAAATTATGTAAACTGTATGCAAAAACAAAGTCATCTACCTCCACCTACCTCTTCCATCTCAAAGGAGTCCTTCTGCTGCAGCATTAGATTCATTATGGACGGGTTTGCGAGGGGAACGCAGGGGTCTCTACCCAGTGATGCCGCGGGCAGCCTTTGCATCGAGGTGCTGCTGTTGGATGTACTGGAACTGCTGCTGAGGCTTGGCGAGTCCAAAAGACCAGATTCTTCACATGGTCTATCCTGGGCGCTTGCCAACCTGCTGCTTTGCACATCTGCTGGAGGCACAGTACCCTCTTGCTTATCATCAGTCCCAGCAGGAAGGTCTGCAGGTTTACGTGTGTCTGCAGCATTTGTCTGACTGCTGGCTATCTCCTCTTTTACAGTAGCCAAAAAAGAGGAAGAGTCTTTCTTTTTGTATTTTGGTAATTTAGATTCATTTTTAACATCATTTTCCTCGCTCCCTGGTTCAGCTGGACTTTTCCCTTTTTCAACAGGTGAAGGAGTTGAGCAGCCGCTACCATCGGCTTGCTGTGTGCTGCACAGATTGAGCTTAGACAAGGTCTTCATTAACCGACTGGCTGTATTGCTGCGATTTAAAGGGGGAGGGCTGGATGCCTCTTTGCTGGAAGACACTGAATTCATACTACCAATTTTCTGCAAAGGAGTCCCAGAGACTTGAGAATACAAAGAAGAAAAAGCATTGGCCACAGTAGTAAGCACTTCAATCTGACGAAAACGACCTGCACAAGAACACAACGTAAGGCAGCGCTTATGAGGACGTTTGCTGTGATCACATCCCAGACCTGTTAATTCATCTCTATGTGATGGTTTGAATTCTCAGAGACAGCTCTTTCTTCATATCTGAAGAGGGCATTTTCATTATAACCTCTGCCCACCTCCACCCCCAATTGTCCTCCTACTTCTATCAAGGGTCCCAAAGGTTGACTGAACACTGCCTTGTCCTGTAATATGAGTTATACCACACAGTATGAAAAAAATGGAAAAAACTTTGCAAAAGTGTTTGGTAAATGTACAAGGAGAACAGCAAGGAAAGCTTTCACAAAGTAAAAAAGGAACACAGGTACACAATTGCACATTAATTTACAAAGTGCTAGGAAGCAAAGGGTTACTCGCATTGCTCTCTCCATCTGCAACTACAAGAGGACAGTTCAGCTATGCCCTCATTTCAGTAACGCTCATTACTGACCTAACAAAGCTCCTGTCCAAGTCAATAGAAATACTGGCCCAGATTTCAGCAACTACAGAAGTAGGTTGCTGCTGACAAGATTTCAAAAATCCCACCCGGATACTGAAGAACACAAGAAAAAGACGGATATTGCTATTTGTTTCAGTGCTCTAAAGCTACAACAGAAGACAAGCTTAGGAGCAAGAAGCAGGACCAGAAGGCAACGTACCTTACAGGATGCCTTTCATTTCCCTCCCCCACTATAAATCCTTTCCCCTTACCCCAAGGTGTACAACACTGATGGCCACTTCTTGCCATATTTAAAATCAAGCAAAAGTTTTATTATGGATTCTGGATGGAATTTGGCCTTCAGACGTAAAGGGGTTTTGCCAGATGACTAGACGTACACCTTCTTTTGAGGTTGTTTACATAGTTCAAAAACTTAAAAATAAACTTTGCTTCAAAAATATACTTACTTGTTAAAGCAAAATTTGGATTTTCCACTTCCATGCGCTGTATTTGGGCATTCAAGAACACTTTGATATCTATCCCTCTGGCAAATGATGATGAATTAAAAAATCTTGCTGGAATTTTTGAAGCAATATCTGGTTCATCTCTTCCAAATCCGAGGTTATAGAGCACTTCTTCAGGATCTTCTTCATAAAGCTCCAGTAATTCAGAAACACTAAACAAATGAAAAGATGTTTACTATCTATTTGTGTCTTTTTAAGACCCAGTCCAACTGTTAATTCAGCCCAGTAGCCAGCTTGGTCTATTGAACTTTTGACTCCTACAGCTCAGTCTACTTTAGGATACAATTGTGAAGATGTCTGCATCTGAAGTTTTGGTTCACATCACCAGAGACATCAGCCCAGACACATCTCCGATCCAATCCTGTAATTTATAAAGTCAGCCCTTATTCTGCAGAGCTCAAATTTTAAAATGTCATTAAAATTTCAGACATTTCTAATGTTTGGGCCTATTTGTTAGTATTTACTGCAAACCACAACTAAAAACAAATAGCAGTTTTTCAAGCAACCAAATGAAAATTCCCTTCTCTGCTACTAAATGCAACAATGCACACAAATCAAGCCAAGTCCATTAAACTGAGGAGCAGAAGAAGTAAGTTTTGCCAGCAAAACACAGCCAAATTCCACTGAACTGTGCCATGACCTTCAAAGCATAGTACTCTTTTACCTTGAAACAGTCGCACTGCTTTTTCCAGACCCGGTGGAGTTCATACTTCTCCCCTTCTGGTGGAACTGCAGCCTCCTCTCCTTCGCCAGCACACCATTGCTGTCAACACAAACAGAGAAGACCCCTGCGATAAACCCCTTTTGTTCAGGGTCTCGATTCTCCGTCTCGGAGGAGAGCTAAGCCTCCAGCACTGCTGAATTTCTCTTTTCCCCTTCAGTGTTATCTGGTTTATATTAGCCATGTCATTTATTGAAATACAATAACAAAAGTGAACCCTGGGACGCCTCAGTAAAAATGTACGTAGACGGTAAGAATTAGAAGGCAAATGCAAGCTGAATAAACAAATCCCTGATCTCCCCTTGCTGCCCCACCCTCCCCGATCCCACCCTCCTCCAGCAAGGAAGCCCAGCCTCAGGTGAGCTGCCCTGTCTTGCCTTTCCCTGCCCTTCCCCACGCCGCTGCCTCCTCCGGCAGGACTACCTCTCCATGGCAGAGCCACTTCTCCATGGCAGGGCTACCTCTCCATGCCTCAGGTACCCGGCTCCCCCTCACCCTTGGCTGCCACCCACGCAAGGTTGTGAGCTGCCCCAGCAGTGGCTGGGGAAGCTGAAGAGGCTCCAGGCTGGAGCAAGACAAGCTCCGACCAAGACTGCCGGCCAGTTTCTTTCCCAGTTCCAAACTATTCCCTCCCTGCATCTGCAGAAGCCACCTCAGCATTAGGTGGTACCTCAGCCTCAAACATACCATTGGTGACAATCTCTCTGGGGGACAAACCTTCCCAGGGTGAATTTTACTGTACAAATTCTAACATCCCCCCAGCCCCGCCCCGAACAACCACCAAGAAATGAAACACGACAAGAGGATTCACCTAAAAATGCATTTATGGGGCCCAGCTCAGGAGGAGTAGTGAGGATGTTGCCCACATGGGCTGTGCTGGTATTTGCTGAAGGCTCAACAGGGGTTTTAGTCACAGCACATTTTATTTAGAAGTTCTCCCTATAAAGCAGGCTCTCTCAAAGTCTTTTTTTTTGCACTCCCAAAGGATAGCTGCTCTGAAAGGTAAAACTAATTTTCCCTTGAAATTTCTGAAATGGCAAGGGATCAGTGAGGCAAAGAAGGTAAATTGTACTAAATTACTTAGAAGATTTGGCATTTCTCTGTTTTGTTCCTGCTACCCCAAAAATCTACATCAGGTCTGCTGGAAGAATAAAAATCTGCGCTTCTTTCTGCATTTCATAATGACTGTTTCTGTGCTATCCGGATCTTCTCTTTCCTTCTCTTTCCTTCTCACGTAAACTGACAGGACCAGAAGAGCTTTAGCTCTGAGGCAGCCTTCATGACTTCCACTGCCCCCTCTCCCTCCCACCCTCCAGTATAAATATTTCTCTGAAGTAAACAACAACAAAAAAGATGTTTACCATGTTTCCATTTGGGTATCACTCCGTAGATGATTAGCTGTAGCAAAACAAGAAGAAGTTACACACAGACCTCTTCAGAATTGCACTTCCCACAACTGGTATGAAGCAGCAGGCAGCAAGCACGTTTACCAATACTCCCACATAAGCCAAGTTTTTCTCTTCTGATATAAATGAGATTGTCAAGTGTTTCTAGTATACGGCTGATATAAAAATGATCTGGTTTATTCAGGCTCTGTTTAAAATAAAATCTCACAGGGACACACGTTTACATACTGTCATTAATCGTATTAACTTGAAATTTTATGTGTGGTAAGCTAGCAATTGTTATATAAACCATTTATTGCTTTGCAATTGAAGACACGATTACCAGCTGCAGGGTTGTTCCCAGGCGGGAAGGGGAGGGGGAGAAGCAGGCACATGAGGATTGCTCCAGTAGAGAAAGTAAAGAACATAAGAAAGGCAGCTGGCCCCATGGCCAGGTACTGAGACTATATTCATTAGTCATTACAGCAGCACGGTCTGCTTTCGAAGAGGGGCAGGGGCCCAGCTGCTCGAGCTGTGCAATCCATGGACAACAGCTAGGTGAAGCCTGCGGCGCCGATGGGACCAGTGCCCGCACTCAAGAGTCGAGAGGGCTCTGGATGGAGGCCGGCTGCCAGGTACCAAGCAGCTGGTCACCAGCCTCCGACAGGGAAGTCAGCACTTTCTGCAGCTGGATCAGCCCAGCTCCACACGGGAACATCCCAGGCAGCATTATTCTTTCAGAAAATCAACACCCTGTCAAGCCAGAGAGTTAAGCGCCAGCCTTAAATTATAGGTTCCCCAAAGAGGCGACTCAACATTAACAAACTTGCCCCAGGAGACGACAAGGAGCATGCATATGCTATAGCAGCCCTCGGAATCAGCTAGGAAAACAGCAAAATTATGTCAAACACGCTGCCAGGAAAACCTTGCATCTCGACTCGCCGTGCTAGCAGGGTACACTCAGCAACAGAGAGCAAACATGGAAACCTCACAGCCTCGCCTTTTGAGAGGCATCACAAAGAAACTTAAAATGTATACAAAACACAGATGCCACATCTCTTTTTTTTTAAATATTCTTGCCTATAATATGAAGGTAAGCCTATCTGTATGGATTAGCTGGTGACTAGCGTGAACAGCTAAACCGTGGGTTTTAACAGCGCGGTAGGGGGCTGGGGTTACAGGACCCTGCTCGATGCTCTCCATTCACACAGGGCTCTGGCGTGTATCTGGATTCAGGCGGTCATGGATACACAAGGGCAGGCCATTCATACCAGCCTCAAAGGGGCTGTCTGTCTGGCAGGGCACGCAGCGCTGCTCCAAGTAGCTCAGTTGTCCCCTTGTTCTCGGATGGGAAACAAAGCCCTGCAGAAACACCTGCGTCCTTACCCAAGAAAGTCAGCAGCGATTCTAGCATCGGGACCTTTGCCATCTGAAAAGGAGGGAAACAACCTTCTACTTAAATCATGCTAAAGGCTCATAAAACCCAGAAATCCTTGGGAATGATAAAGGGAAAAAATTGAAAAGAAAAAAGTGGCATGCTGGTTTAAAATGTACTGACTTTTGTATTATTGGCCATATGCTCAGAGCTTGGATTGTTGTTACAAAGAAACTTTTCCTATGAAATCTTTGTACTGCAGGCAATCTAACAAGTGGAAGACTGTCAGAAAGAAAATTTAATCCTATTTAATCTATTGCAGTAAGGGACTCATTTAATGCTTCTCCACCATTATCAGATCAAGGTCATTATCAGATCAACTGTTTTCCTTAGTTGAATCTTTAAAAATTAAAGATATTTCCTTCCTCCAGGCCCTGTGCCACTACTTTGACACCACTGGCAAGACTGCTGTGGAAAAAAGGGCTTTCTACTACACAGGTTCTAACACTTTGCAAAAGCTGTAGTTCAAAAAACATTAAAAGCTAAAGGCAGGGAGTGGTTTTGCCTCTTTTTTTTTTTAATATATA